TTTTTTTTTTTTTCTGTCAAGCTAATCCCAGCTGTGTGGTAACCATGTCTAAAGCCGCGGTCACACTGCACTTTTCGCTCCATTGACTTCCATTCATACGCATGCGAATGCGTCAGACCGGAAATGCAAGCCCATGTGAAAAGTTTTCGCATTTCGCTGCGTTCCAAAGTTCAAACTTGGTGAACTCTGGCCTGCGAATTCACATCACGTGACACCATGTGAAAAACGGCAGATCGATATGTCACAGCATGACCTCGTGTCTGAATTAAAAGAACATAAATTTAAAACTGCAGCACTGCAGGAAAGTGGAGTAGATTTTTACATTTTAGATGTATTATCATTTGTTACGTGTTGAATTTAAGTTTTTAAAAAGACGCTGCACAGCGTGACGTCATATAACGACCGTTGCAGCATGCGAAACAAGTCTAGTGTGACCGCGGCTTAACACTCTTTTCTCAGATAATTTTTTATTGAATGGTTCACTTGAAATTTGAAGTGTCTGTGTGTGCAGCAATATGCTTTTTTTTTTTTTTTTTTTCATGAAACAGCCATTATCCTGAAATAGAACAGAGAAAGATTCTCTCCAAACTGGGTTACATCTGTCCGTTTGAATGGACTAATTCTTGGTCATGTTTACGCACACATCTAGAAACCTGAGGCAGAGTTCTGCTTTCTGGAGCATAGTGTTTACCATAATTGGTTTGCTTGAATTTTAGAGAATTAATTTTTAAAGCCTCTTTTGATGGTGCAGAGGGAAGGGTAAAACCAATTAGATTCCATGGATGAGGTTAAACGTATCCTCATTCCATGTGTTCATTCCACTCATGGATTTAAGAATTATGATTTCGTGCTCCAAGAAGCCTAGATTTTTAGGTGCCAAAAAGTGTTTGCACTTATTCTGTATAATGTAGCTCGTTGGCTGGAGTCCAGTTTAAAAATATTGTAGTTGTGAATGTTATTTACAGATACTTAAAGAATAATGTTGAAATTACTTATTTATTCACACAGCGATTACAGGCTGCAGTAGAAAAACGGAATGAGATCATATCACAGCTTAGTGAGAACCTGCAGGTGGCGCTGCAGAGCAGAGACCAGGTACAGCTGGAGGCACAGCAGCTCACTGGTCAGATTCAGTCACTACAACAGCAACTACAGCAGGTAAAGTTCATACATTTATTAAAAAAAAAGAAAAGTCCATCTGTTTCTCAATCTTGCCTCAAGTCCTCAGCACTGATTCATTCAAACAGACCCTATTTAATTTTAATGGAGTGCTTTATAACTTAAAGCGATTGTCAGATTTGTGATCTTAAGAATGAATAATGTTTAGGTTGTAAAGAATAAAATGGAAAAATGCTGGTCTCTGTTAGACATGAAAAATTATGACTATTGTTGACTTCTGCTAACAATATCCTTGATCCTCTGAATATGGAGAGTCCAAAATGACTTGGCCTCCCTAATGGCCAAATGAACAAAACCTGTTAGTTCTTAGTCCCCATTGTGCAACAAATTGGTTATTTTTGTTCTTGTTGTTCATAATAGAACACAACAGTAGGAGTCTAAATGAATGAAATGTAAAACTACTTGCAGGCTAAGGAATATCTACGTAGCAAAAGTCAAGGGTGTGTGGATCTGACCCAGGCTGTTCAAAATCAGCTGCATGTACAATTGGAGGAGTCGCAACAGGTTAGGACACGTGTCTTTTTAATAGTCAAGCTTGTCATTGAAGCAAAATATGCACTTTTGTTTTATCAACATGTATGTGTTACATTTGTTTTATAGATGACTAAGGAGCAACAGTGCCTTTTGGCCCAAAAAGAAACTGAGATAACAGACCTGCAACAGAAATTGTGTGTCATGGAAAAATCCCTCTCTCAGCTTCAACATGCCTTTACCCAGAGAAGTGGTGATCAAAAAGATCTAAGACTTGACCAACATGGTAGTTTAGATTTATCCACTGTCAGCCCTCTGTTCCCAGACAACAGTCCTGACTCAGACTCTGAAGCTTTAATGCAAAGCCTTAGAGCTGAGCTAGAGGAAGAGCGTAAGAACAGCCAGCGAGCTCAAGAACAAGTAGAAGCATTTCAGAAGAGGGTACAGAGTCTGGAGAGTGAGAAGACCCTGATGGAAGCTCATCTGGCTGCAGTTAATGAAACACAAGCCCAGGAAGCCCAGAAATATAAAGCAGAGAAAGATAAACTGAACCAAGAAATGGCTAGATTAGATAACCTTGTGAAGGAGCTTCAAAATCGTCTTCATGAAGAGGAGGAGACGGGACGCCATATGCGTTCCAAATATGAAGCCGATATTTCCAATTATGATCTCAGGCTTCAGACTCTGGAGGAGGAAAGGGAATTGAATGTAGCCCAGCTAACTGAAGCTCATGAGGCTGCTCTTAGTCGCCTGCAGAAGGAGCACTCTGATGAGATCCATCGCATCCAGGAGCTTCTGAACCAGGCCCAAAGTCAGCATACCGATTCTCATTATAATGTTTCCAAAAACTTTGGTGCAGACGTACCCTGGAAAAAAGTCTCCAAAGAGCTTTACAATGAGGAGACAGCCACTGAGAGTGCAGGCAGAGATGACTATAGTTTTGACGTCCCTGCAGGGGGTTTCCAGGATGATCTGATGGAACGTTACTTGGCCTCTGAAGGGCCTCAAGAAAGCTCATTGATTGAAGGGAGTATGGAGGAATGTAGCCTGATGGAAAGCTCTGAGACGTCCAGGTTTGAGCTAGACAGTGAGGTTATATTTCACACTTCAGATGTTCCTAACAATGTCACATCTGATGGTGATAAGTCAGAGCCAAGACTGTCTGTAGTTCATAGCATTGAAGTGCCCCAACCTGATGAAATGTCCTTCACTAATGCCCAGTGGCAAAACTCAACCTCAGTTGTTGAAGAGCTGAATGATAGCGCAGGCACTGTGGACTTGGCAAAAGAGCTTCTAATCCAGCAGTGCCGAGACCTGTCAGAGCAGTTAGAAGAGCGGGAACGACAGCTCGAGGTTCTTCAAGAGGAGGTTCAGCACTCTGCTGAGGAGGTTGAGGAGGCACGGGAGCGTTGGAGCAAAGCTTCAGAGGAGCTTGAAGAAGCTAAGTGGGAGCTGGAGATGGAACGTGAGAAAAGAATTCAGTATGAGGAAGTTATCAGCCAGAAAATGCATGAAGAAGACAACCTCAAGAACATACTGAGTCACCTCCAGATCCAGAAACGGCTGCAGCTTCAGGACAATGAAAGGTTAATGCCTGACAACACTGACTCCAATAAGACCTCAATCTTTTTATCTATAGAGGAGTTGTTAAAGGAACTAAAGGAGGAAAATGCCCAATTGGTGCTACAGCTCAAATGTCAGGAGCAGCTAGTGAAGGATGTCCATGAGCAGAAACCAGCATTGGACTCTATAAATAGTGAGCTTTCCTCTTTGCAAGCTCAGAGAGATGAATTTCTACTTCAGCTGGAGCAACAAAGGGGAAAAAACCAAGCTACTTCAGTGCTGCTTGGTCAAAGGACCTTGCAGGTGGACCAAGCCAATAGAGAGCTTCAGCAGCTTAAAGCTGAAGTGGAAGAGAAGGTTGGAAGGTTGCAGAACTTGGAGAAAGAGAAGACAGACCTTGAATCTAAGCTAATGTGCCTTAAAGAGAACCTCAACAACATGGAAGAGGAGAAAGCTACCCTTGAAAGACGTCTCCAAGCTTTGGAGGACCAAGCAAAGAGCATGGAGGTGGTTCTAGAATCAGAACTGAAGAACTTTGAGGTTTGAATCTTAATTGCTCTTTTGAAATGTAGTTTATATTTAATGTATAAACCACAATATGTGCTGCTGGTTCAAGTATAGTAACAAGAACGAACAAATGCATACATTTGCGTGCCCTGTTTGTGGAAAACCTGGAAACTTGTAATGTTTTATGTATTTGACACATAATTATGGTCCTCAAAATAACACTCACTTTTCTATCTAGCACCAACTTGAATCAAAGGATGCAGAGCTCAAGGAAGTTAAGGAAGTCAAAGAGAAGGCAGAAGAGGAATACATGGAAAAGGAGAGTGCCTTAATGAAAGAGCTCATCACAGTCAAACAGGATCTGGAAGAAAGACAGAAGCAACATGAGGAGGAGAAGAGAATTCTGGAAAAGAAACACCAGAAAGAGGTGAGAACCATTTAATGAAAGTGACTGGGAAGAATGTCCATTTAAAAGAAAAACAAGTGAAAAAGACAAGTTGAGTAAACTAAATAAATACAAATAAACTAAGTATCTCATGTTTCCTACCTCCAGGCTAAATACTTGAATGTACGTTTTGAGCGGGAACATTCTGAACAGTCTACTCATCTGGAAGATGAGCAGAAGAGACAGATCAGCTTGATTAAACAGGTTAACCCATTTAACTTTATTTACCATAGCAATGTATATTCCACATTTTTATATGAATCATATGGCTGTCTTAAGTTGTATACACTGGTCTTTGTCAACTCTGCTGTCTTAGGTCTATGAACGAGAGCATGAGAGGGAGCTGACGCAGCTGGCAGCCCAACATAGTGAGGAAATCTGCATACTTAAAGATGAACTCTCCAGGGAGCTACAAGACGGCCTGGAGGCTGCACACCAGGCTGAGCTGCTCCAAACACAAGTACTTGTTGGATCTCAGGATTTTCATTTGAGTCCTGGGGTATGTTTTGGAATGTAATGGTGACAAGCTGCTCAATACATATAGCGTTCAAAAGTAAGATTTTGAAAGGAAGAAATTAGTACTTTTATTCAGCAAGGATGCATTAACTTGATCGAAAGTGAAAGGAAAGAAATGTATAATGTTTCAAAAGATTTCCATTTCAAATATATCCCATTCTTTTGAACTTTCTATTCACTAAAAGTCCTGATTTTTTTTTTTATCAAGGATCATGTGACACTGAAGACTGGACTAATGGCTGCTGAAAATTCAGCTCTGCCAAGCATTTTAAAATATATTAATTTGGAAAACTGATATCTTATTGTGTTGTGACAGTGTTTCACAATTTTACAGTTTTTATTGTATTTTTGATCAAATAAATGCAGCCTTGGTGACTTTCAAAAACATTTTTTTTAAATCTTACCGACCCCAAACTTTTGAACGGTATTTTTAATGGTCTAAGAAATGGAATGCAGTATTGCAGTGGTATCTGAACTATTTACATAAAGTATTCACACTTTCTGCTACTTAAAATTATAGTATTAGATCAATTTTAATTTAATTAAAAAAACCATAACTGCATGTGTTTCCAATTGATATGCAACCCCTGCCAATTAATGGTATTACCCGCCATGTAAACCTCACGAAAATGTAAATGCCTTTTTCTTGGCCAGTTGCTTACATCTCTACAGCAGCATGAGCACAGGATCTCAGTAGCTGGCTATGACCTCTGTTTCTGACAAGTATGTGTACTGCATTCCTAATAGCAGTACAGCAATATGCCATTCTAAACGTACCCATATTTTAACTGCTTTCCTTCTGTTAACCTCTAACCACAATTCCACTTGGTCATGTTGGTTGGTTTTACTCTTTATAATCAGAGCCAGCACAACCTGGAGCTGGAAGCCTTGCGTCTGAGCTTGACCAACTTGCACACTGCTCAGCTGGAGCTTTCTCAAACCAACATGCAGAAAGATAAGGAAGTGGCCCTCAGTGAGCTGCAGACCATGTTACGAGAGAAATGGGCACAGGAAAGCGCCATGCTGCAGACGCGCCAACAGTTTGAGCTGGAGAGAATCCGGGGGCAGAGCCAAGAGCAGGAACAAAGAAACCAGCGACTGCACCAACAAGAGATTGGTGAGGGTTTGGCCTGTAGTTTAAATGTTATTCTTTGCATTGTCACAGTACTAAAATAATATTACAGTGAGATGTGTGCTTGCTTGAAAAGTATATGTGTGTATTTTTTTGATTGGTATGTTCTTTCACTATAGATAATCTGAACTGGGAATGGGAGAAGAGAGTTTTGGAAGAGAAGAGCTTAGTGGAACAGTTGCAGGCCCGTAAACTAGAGGTAAACGAGAACTTTTTTTCCTTTTTTCTTCAGTAGACAAACATCTTGACCCACTGAAATATTGGTGTTTGCCTGGGATTAGCAGGGATGTGATTCTTCTGGATTAATCTGGAATTCTGTTTTTTTTTTCTTTTTTTTTCGGGGTTACAGCATGATGATTGAAATAGTGCAAATGGCCTTAAGCAATGAACTAGATAAACTTCAAAAAGATTGTTTTCTAAAGCATCATGGACGGAATGGTCCTGAAAGCGCTGATCGAGCTCGCGGTGCCATCTGCAGGACAGTTAAAAGGGTTCAAATGGTTTAAAGCACCAAATGCGGGTAGAATCGGCGCTGAAAGGTGTTACTCGCCCGGAAATTTTTATGAATGGTGGTGAGAATTTGAGATTGCTAAGTACAGTCATAAAATTTGCAACAGTTGTGATGTAATTACATAAATATAGGCTATAGTCTGACGCGGTACATGTCTGCTGTAGCAGTACTGTGTTTTCAGTGTCGATTCACTGTAAATGCTTTTAATTTGCATTTGGGAATGCAACATTCATCATTAAAATCGTTTATAAATCTGTTCTTGTTTACAAACAGAAGCTTCAGTGTCACATGATCCTTCAGAAATCATTTTAATATGCCGATTTGCTACTCGAGAGACATTTACTATTTATTATCAGTATTAAAAACCTGCTTTTTTTGCTGCTTAAAATTTTTGTAGAAACAATGAGACCACTCAAAGAGAGAGAGAGCGAAATTAGTAATTTTATTCATCATACATTAAAGTGGTAAAGTGAGTGAAGACATTTAAAATGTTTCAAAAGATTTCTGATTAATAAATGCTTTAACAAATGTAATAAATATATTTGATAAATGCTGTTCATTGAACTTTCTATTTATCAAAGAATCCTGAAAAATGTATCACCATTTCCACAAAATATGAAGCGGCACAACTGTTTTCAACATTGATAATAATCAGAAATGTTTCTTGAGCATCAAATCAAATTGTAATGATTTCTGAAAGCTCATGTGACGCTGAAAACTGGAGTAATGATGCAGAAAATTCTGCTTTCCATCACAGGAATAAATTAAATTTTATAATAAATTAAAATAGAAACCTTTTTTTTTTATTTGTAATAATATTTCACAATATTGCTGTTTTTACTTTATTTTGATCAAATAAATGCAGCCTTGATGAGCAGAAAAGTTTTATTTCAAAATCATTAATTGTAATGTTTCCAAACATTTGGCAGGTACTTAAAATAAAAACAATTTTATTAATACTTTTATTATATTATATTATATTATATTATAATGATTATTAAATGCTGCTCTTTATTTTTACATTTTGCATATTTTTTTAATGTGATAAAATATATATTTTTAAATAAGTGTCGGATTTTCCAACTTTTTTGTCTCTAGCTGATCACATGCCTGGATTAGGTGTGAAACGGGCTTGTGCAGTTTGTTTTCTTTTCTCTGTAGGATCTAAAGGCTGAGTTGCTCTTGGAGGCTGAGAAGGTCAAGACAGAACTCCAGAGTCAATTAAATGATGCGCATCATAAACTGAGTGAGACCCAGGCAGCTTTCACTGAGGCTGAAGTAGCTCTGTCTGAGACGCAGGGTAGGCTAGAAGAACTGCAGAGTTCCAGAGATCAAGATGTCAAGAATCTGGAGAAAGAGCTCAAGCAGGCCTTGACTGACAGAGATGCTGCTGCACGTGAGTGTCATTTAAACAACTGTGTGAGCTAAGCCATATTGACAGTGATATGGTTTACTGGCCCAGTTTATGGGTGTTTTCACACCTGGATTGTTTGGAGTGTTTGTTTTAGAACCTGGTGCATTTTCTCCCTTAGTTCGGTTTAAGCATATATGAATACACCACCATAACAATTGGCTCAAGTTCGCCCGAACGATGTCGTCTTGGCTCAGTTGAAAACTCTGTAGTGGTTCAGTTGTGGTGAAAGCATTACAACCCAACGGACCAACAAACCAGTCAGCATCATATTCCATAATGGAAAATGCAAATGAACCAAACCAAGAAGAAAATGCAACGTTGTAAATATTGAAGTCTGCAAACGATAAGCAGGTCTGAATTTGCCCTGAATTCCCCTCCTTTCCCATTCAGGTGCAGTTGAGGAGTTGGTTGCATGTCACAAGGCAGCACTGCAGGAGAAACAGGAACATTCCCGAGCCCTGGAGCAGAGAGGAAAAGAGCTGAAACAAGAGGTACCATGCACATCTCATATTTGTTGCAACAATATTGCAGTGCAGCTGTTTTATTTCTGTTTGTACTGAGACAACATCTTTGTGAAAGGTTGACCGTCTACAGTCAGAAAAGGAGGAACTGAAGACCAATTCAGAACAGGAGATCTCAAACCTCTGGTCCCAGCTGGAGAGCATGAGAACCAACAGACAAGATCTCGGAGGCATTTCCCTTTAAAATTTTCTGCTTTTGAATATCATCTCTGTGGGCTTGGACTGCTGTATTGTTTTACTCATTTATTATTTATAATAAAACCAGTTTTATTTCTTCTGAATTGATTATTTATTTTTCTTTCAGTAAAGTTCCTATTGTTTAGTGTTGATGTGAATTACAAAGACCTGTAATTCTTTCTATGGATGTCTTTAATTTCTTCATTCAAATGTTAAACCATCAAGATTTTATTTTGGCAGAAAACCTCAGGGAGCCCTAAAAGTTTCTCTTTTGTTGAAAACAGCCAGTGTATAAGCACTTCTCATAACATCACATTTGGGACACAATATGCACCAAATATCTTCCCAAACTTGTAATAAGAGACCTAAACTCGGCACATGAAGAGATGAAGTTTGTGTGGAGCATCATTTGCTGTTAACCCAGCTGCTTGGAATCACTGAAAACACTTGATCATGTGCTGCTTGCATGTAAAAGAACACAGTGCTGTGCTTCACTCTTTAAAAAAACGCAGTGCATATATGTTTAATTCATTTGCAGCTTTTGCTATTTGATAATTATGCAATTTCTTTTTTTTTCGTAATCATTAATCCTACAGCACTAGAACAACCCTCTAAATCTTATATTTAGGTAGCATGGTTGTGCCAATTTTTCCTTGTGCACTAAAAATATTTATTTTTTTATTATTTTGTCAGAACAATGTACAACAAAATGGAGAATTGGAGTAAATGTGTTTATTATCATCTGTGTGTCATACATGTAGGCACCAAGAAGAGCAGAAACAACTGGAAGAGAAGTTGACCCTTCAGAGAGATGCTGCCCTGGATCAACAGAGAGAACGGCATGCTGTGGAGCTGCAGGCCCAGAAAACGCTCCTGGATGAGAGAGCTGCACAATTAGAGCGTCTTGAAAAGGACTGTCAGGAACTCAAAATACACCACTGGGAGGAACTGGAATCACTGAGGACCAATCACAAAATGGCCTTGGAGACCTTGGAGATGGAGCTTACAAATAAACACAAGGTAGAGCTCGACAGATTGGAGGCGGTCCTTCAGGAGACCAACCTGGCACAGCTTGAAGCTCAAGAGGCGGAGCTTCAGGCACGACACAAACGGGAGAGGGAGGAGCTTGAGGAGAGGCTGTTGGCGAACATGGACACACTGGAGAGCACGTTCTTGAAAGAAATTCAGGCAGTACGGGACGAGAAGGAAAGAGAACTGCGTGACCTTGTAGAACACTATATTGGAGAGATTGAAAGGGTGAGAAAGGTGGAGCAAACCATCAGAGAGGACCTCAGAAGTGAGCTTGCTAAGGTCCATATGGATAAATTCAGCGCCATGGCAGCAGAATTGAATCAAGCCCATCAGGTAAGCACAGTAATGGAGGGATTTATTTATTTATTTATTTAGTGCAGGTTTAGTTCATTGGCCATGGAAAGTTTATTGCACGAGCAACATCTAGTGTGTTACCTTGCTCATGCAGGCGGAGATCTCTGAAGCGGTCTCCTCTCAAAGGGCTGCTCTGGAGGATGAGCATAGATCTACTCTGGAAGCTCTTCAGCAACAAGTAGTTGCTTTAGAGGAGCAGCATAGCGCCGCCCTTCTGGAGATCACTGATCTTGCCGCTGCAAAGGAAAAGCAACATGAGCAACAACTGGATGTGCTGGCTACTCAATATCAGCAACAGCTACAGGTATGTGTTCAGGAGGACAAGAACAATAAGAGCCTGAGTGTGTCATTTTCATTTAGATGTGTTCAGCCTTTAGCATGGATTTAGCATAGAAAAGTCTTGTTTAAACTGTAAGAAGATAAGAGCTTCTTACATTAACTCTCCTCTCTACCTCAGGAGTTAAGAGGAGTGTCTGCCAGGGAGCTGGAGGCTCTCCGTAGGGAATTAGAGGAAGACGCGTCAAGGCAACGCCTCCACTTCCTGGAAGAGGCAGAGCTTCTCAAGTGCAAGTCTGAGGAGCTGTTGCAGCACAAAATTGCTCAGTTAAAGGTGAGAGAAGGAGGTATTAGTTTAAAAGTAGCCATATTCTATCAGTGTTTCTTGCAGTTGGCAGTTTTGGGGAAAATTACTTTTAAAAGTGCATTACAATATTTAGTTACTCCCTAAAAAAGTAATCTGATTATGTAACTTGCGTTTCTTGTAATGCGTTACCCCTCAACACTGGCAGTTGGTGGTGTTTTTGTTTGTTTGTTTGTTTGTTTGTTTGTTTTTCCTCTCCCTTATTCTAAAAAAACTCTCAAAATCTCACAAATCTCTGTGACCATTTTAAGCAGGCTGGCAGGGACCCTGTTGGTCTTTAAAAACCCTGGGCTAGGCCAAGCTGAATATTGAATAGATATTAATATGAAAACAAGTCCAGAATCAACGCTGATTGTACATTGATTAGCTGAAAGCATGTCATAAGAAACACTGGCACTCACCATTTTTAAAAAGCTGTGCAAACACACAGTTTACAAATACTTGCTCCACAAACATGGGAAACTGCTAGGTGGACCGATGCAGAAGTCCAGTCACTCCATCCTCCAGTTGATGACATGCTTAAATGTAACTGTCGGCTAGCTTACATCACTTCAGAGTTCTGAATCCTGCTGTGAATGCAACCAGGAAAATGGCCCTTGGTGTAAATTAATTTCTTGGGGGACCAACCTAGTGGAGGAGAGTTTCTGTAACTTTTAATAGACAATCAAATTGTAAACACTGGCACCAAATTAGACTTAAGAGTTTAGCTGCTTTTATAGACCATTGCGTATAGCCTGCTTCTCTCGCCATCTCATCGAATAAGTATTCATTCATCATGTTTAATTTGACTGGTAAAACTTGCTTTTTATCTTTTTCTTTCAACTTGTCTATGTTGTTGTTATTGCTGTGTTCAGTATATGAACATTTGTGCATATGCTACTCTCGTAGACATGGTTATGCACAATAGCTAAGCTTATTGGGGGAGGGAGTTAACATCTGGAGCAGGGGGACGGTCCACTCTAAACTCAAATTAACACTAATCCCCACCCTGTGCTGTACAATATACAGTAGCTTCCGTCATTCATAGTAAACCTTTTCTTTAGATTGGATGCTATCAGATGTTTGCGTTTGAACTTGTAGAGCAGTCCTCTAGCTGAAATCTGTCAGCGAAGGGGCTTTCTGAGATTTTACCCTGGTTGGTTTGTCAGTTGGCCACTTTCCCATTGGAGCATTAGAGAGGTCCTCTCTCAGTATTAATCCTACAGATGGGAGGAAGTGTAGGGACACGTGAGTGATGACTGACTGATTGAGGATTTGAGGTTTGTGAGGGTTTTTTTTTTTTTGTAAATTTTTTTTTTCTGTGATTTGTCAATGATCTTTTAATTCTTTATAGAGATCACTATGTAAATTCTGATTTAAGTTAGATTCTAACCATTTGGCTTATGTCTGTTTTGGAGGTGAGAATGTAAAGCTGAGGAGTGATACAGGAGTTATCGCTTCTCTGTGTTTCTTCAGTGTTGCCCGTGACGTGCATGTGTGTCTTTCAGGAGGAGAGTGACCAGGACAAGGCTGCTGCTCTTGAAGAGCTGGAAAGGACTTTAAGACAGAAACACGAGCAAACTGAACTCGCCTACAGTGACAAGATGAGCCAACTCAATGTGCAGTTACAGCAGCTGGACACTGTAGTGTCACAGGTACAGCACACAATCAGTCATCTCGTCACACAGGCCATGTTTGCAGCTGGTATTAAAGGGTTAGTTCACCCAAAAATGAAAATTAGCCTTACGTTTTGAATATGGTTATTTTTCTTACAAAAACGCATCGATTCGCTACAGGAGGCCTTTGTTCACCCCCCAGAGCCGTGTGAGACACAAAAAAAACTTTTTTTATATAGATGGGCGCTTTTTATTTCACATATTTTGGACTGAAGCAATGCAACACCTGCTGACTGGCATTAAACCGCTTGAAAGATCAAAGACAATTTTTGATATAACTCCGACTGGATTTGTTTGAAAGAAGAAAGTCATATACACCTAGGATGCATTGAGGGTGAGTAATTTATGGGCTAATTTTCATTTTTGGGTGAACTAACCCTTTAAGATGCATTTGTGTCGATCCAAACACAAGTCAGTGTTTCCCACAGACTTACACTCTATTTGTGGCAGCACTTCCCCAAGGGAAATATAGGCTATAAAGCAGCAGATGGGTTGATTGATTGAAAATGCAAATTAATTCTCTGCCAGCAGGAGGCGCTTTAAGAATGGCTGTTTCCCCCGGTCACGGCTGCTCCACTCATAAAGGCTGCTTTATCAGGCATTATAGGAAAAATTAAATTAAATGGAAAAGATATTATCTGTAATAAATAAATAATAAAATATAAAAAATTACACTTATAATCATTTTTCATTTTATTTGGTATTAGCATTGGTTGGGACTGCAGCATTGGGTCTTGATTACATGACCTTCAAACAAAAAGAGGTTTTCAGCAATCCTAAATTTATTGTTTTCATCTGTCTTTTCAGACATTTGAGTTGCTTTTTTAAGGAGGTGTTTAGGATGCTGGTACATAAGAAGTGGTGGGTGGGAATGGTAACAAAGGGCCTAGTTAAGCTTTGGTAGAGCTGGTTGTTATGGTTACATTTTTGCATGCCTTTTGGCTGGTGAAATGCACCATGCATTCTTACAGGAGCCTTATTTAAATGCATGCTACATTCTCATCTGCTTTTGCAGCCTTTTTCCCACCTCTTTTTGGCTTTGAATCCTTCAGGCTCAAAACAAGCCATAGAACTGTTGGACCATCCACAGACAGACAAGTTTTCTGTTTACTTTGGCAGCAGTGTTATTTTATGAGGCTTCTAGAAGTTAACCTCTTCTCTATTTGTTAGTTGCATTGACACCTCTTGAGCAAATGCTTACGTCTTTATTGCCTGTGTGATGACTGGTTTCCTGTCTGTGGCATCTCTTTTTGCCTCTTCCTCAGCTACGAGCAGAGGTGAGCGGGCTGCAGGTTGAGCTAGAGGGCAAGCGGGCAGAGATGGACACGCTGGAGACGCTCCTGCAACGCAGAGACCGGGAGAACCAGGAGGGAGACAATCTACTGGCCATGCTCAGAGCTGACCTCAACACGGCCTCACAGCAAAGGTCAGCTGACCTACAGAAAGAGCGATTTCAGGGAACTGACAGTCTGCATACTGTTTTAGAGAACAACCTTATTTTCATACTTTGAGTTGATCATTAAAACTTTTATTTTGTCCCTGTCAGACAAGACCTGCAAACAGCACGTGACAAACTACAGCGGATGCTCATAGAGATGCTTCGAATCACTATGGCAACGGAAGAGCACATCAACCACAAGTTAGGGGCTTGTGTGTCAGGTGGTCAGGCTGGAGACAAAACACCCAACTCTATGACAGCCAGCAGTAGCCGTGATTCACGTGAAACAGGTATGTTTCTGTTAGTCTGCGAAATTATATCTATATTGATCAACCACTATTAAAAACAGTGTCCACTGTCCAATCATTTGATATATATAGAATGCATCTAAATATTTAAAGGGATAGTTCACCCAAAAATGAAAGTTGTCGTCATTTACTCACCCTCCACTTGTTCCAAACCTGTATGAGTTTCTTTCTTCTGTTGAACGCAAAAGAAGATATTTTGAAGAATGTTGGTTAGCAAACAGTTGCTGGTAGCCATTGATTTCTAGAGTATTTTTTTTCCTCCATACTATAGAAGTCAGTGACTAAAGAAACTCCTATTGATTTGGAACAACTTGAAAGTGAATAAATGATGACAGAATTTTATTTTTTTGGGTGGACTATCCCTTTAATGATTGCAAATGTGACAGTTGCTAAATCCTTTATTTTGCCCTATTTTTTGTTTCTTAATATTTTAGAACTAATATAAAAAAATCTTTGGCCGATTATCTCAAAGTTCCCGACTGTTGGTTAATATATTTGGTTGACTTTCAAATGGATTTTCATAATTAATTTATCGTTCCTTTTTTTTTTGTTTTTTTTTTTCCTTCCTTTTCAGGAG